ATCATCGAATGGAACTATGCAGGGGGTTTCAATTTTCTGTGAATGTCAGAAACACTTCAGCAGCTCCACTAAGAAAAGCAACAAGTTCTCGATAAAAAGGAGTGAACTGACCCAAACCTGACCTACAGAAACAAATTTCCATTTTTAGTGATATTTCAGATAGTCGATATGCATTTTGTTCGCACACTCATTTCCACGATATCTGTTTAGGTGGGAAGCTGTTGCTTGGCCTCGGAGATTCGTTCACGTCTGGTGGCGGTTCGCGATCCTGTCCACATGTTGCTGCTGGTCTGCTAAATTGGCAGGTACGCAATTTTGCCGTCGGTGGAGCCACGACGAAAAATATACTGCCACAGTTGATAAATGCTGCAGCCGTCTTCCCTGTGACAACGGATATTGTTTTAACAATTGGTGGTAATGATCTCAATGGCATTGGAAGTTTAGCGAGCGTCGCCCAACTCAATATCACCTTATTTGAGCAGAGAGCTGCTAGTTTTAAACCTACACTGGTCTCCACTTACAAACAGATTAAAGCTACCGCTCGTCCTGAAACGAAAATTTTCGCTTTACCATACGTTGATTTTATCAGCGTCGGCAATGGAATGCCGTACAAGGCCGAATCCCGTCGAATCTTGCAAGCGTTGAACAATTGTGTCAGAGACGCTGCAACAGAAGCAAGCACTGGCTACATTGATTCCGTTATATCGGCGTTTCTTGGCCACGAAATGAATTCCGCCGACCCATACATCGATAATTTCAACCATCCAACAAACGCACTTCATTCAAACTTGAAGGGCTATGCCAAGATTGGTGACGTAGTGGCTGCTCACTTACAGAGAAATGGACGAAAATAAAAGCAACAACAGCCAGTTTCGGTGGCTGTTTTTCTACATACGACCAATGGTCTTAATAAATCACTGATAACACCTCTGCCCCCACTCACCCTCACCTTCAGAGTAGTTTATACTGAAGTGAAAAACAGTGATAAAGACAAAAATTCCAAGTTCCTTCTGTCGAAACGGGTGCATCATTGCTCGATCAGCGTAAGAATATTCGCCCAATGAGGAAAGAACTTGTCACAAGCGAGCAGACAACAAAATTCAAGGGACGATGCACTGTTACGTCGTTGCAGTTGTCTTTGTCTGAACACTACCGGGTATCGCTGCAGAAACGGTAGATGATGAGTCACTACCGGATCACTCCCATCCAGTACCCGCCAATGGTATTGGAATTCAAAACATGCATTTTCTAGTCCGTCTTAATGTACAAAGTTACTATGCCTATCCTTCAAATATCGTGTTATTCGACACGGATTGTGAGCAGGCCTGGCGTAATATTCATTTGGCCATCGCCCGCTGATTCTACCGAAGAAAAATTATTTGTAATCTGATTTATATCCTTCATTACTAAATTGATGTGACTTTTCTTCTAGTATCGTAATTGTCGTTGTAATTATTCATGGTTAAACTCGAATAGTTTCCCTGCCACATCAAGAATCTCTTAGATATTTGATCAATATTTTTTTACTAGTAACACCCAACGACACTAATCCCAAAAACGGGAAGAGTTATGGAAAATGCTGATGATCTTGGTATAAGAATATTGATCTTTGAATTCTAATGTGACACATCTCGATCGGAATATAAGGTGTCGAAAACCATAGTAAGAACGAGTGGCATTAAAAACTTGAAGCTAGTACATAAAATAACTGCGTCAAAGTCGAGCAGAGACTTAATATTTCTGATTACAAAGTGTAGATTCTAAAAAAAAAACTTTTAAATACTCACTCCCGGTATCTGGAGCTCCCTAACGGTAAAAGCTAAAAATCTGTGATTGGTGGCGAATGATAGGCAATCGTCTGTTCTATCAAACCTATGTCAAAAGACAACCCGATGTTATACGAAATTTCGACGCTAAGGTGACTTTCACAAAAAAAGTTTCACAGACAGGTGACGCCGAAAGTCGGTGTGATGCCACTTTATTCATATTTCCAAATAAAGCCAATTGTCCTCTTTCCAAAACTGAAAACCGCAGGTTTCTAGCTGCTTTCTGTCCGGAGTTATTCAACTTACAACTGACTGCATTGTTCATTGAAGTAGATAGTAGCTTTGGGTGATATGATTGGTTTACTCTCCGTTCGTCCCAAACTGACTTCTCAATTCGTCCCACGAAGCTTTTTTTCTCAGTTCGTCCCATCAACGCTTCTCTCTCAGTTCGTCCAGTATTAGTTTACACTTAATTAGCTTTAATATAATTGTCCGGACTTCTTGCGTACGGTGCTATATATGACTGTTGTCGGTGTATAAATAGTTATATTAGACAAACAACGAGAGCTGACAAGCGAAAACAAGAACATAAAGATGCTTTTTAAGGTATTGGATTCTCGAGGTTTGTACGACTAAATAATGGACTAAGTTACATCTCCGGTATTACATTATTATTGTCATTTGTTTTTTCAAACTGACGCATCATACCGACTTCCTGGGTGTTTCTCCACAACGATTGAGCATAATGGAAGAAAATCCATTGATTTTGATATGTGGAAAAATATCGACACAAGAATTTATTGTGGCTTGTTCAGGTCGCATTGCAGGTCACGCACTGTGGATTCATTTCAACATTCAACTTTTTACCATATTCGGTTAAATATCTCAATATTTTCGTGTAGACAATGGAATTTTTCCGTGTAGTCATAGAGTGTGCACATGGTATCATGGGTACCATCGCCGTCGACTAAACTGTTTGATGGTACAACACTTTACTCAAGCAAAAACGACCCAATTTTTTGGGTTATTTATCTAGATTCAGCTCCACGTACATCTCGATGCACGTGGAGCTGAATCTAGATAAATAACCCAAAAAATTGGGTCGTTTTTGCTTGGGTATTTATTTTGAGGAGCGAGCATAAATATCTGGGACGAATTGAGAGGACACCATATGATTCATTCATATCTGATAATGGCTGATTGAACGTGCGGCATGATTGAAATGAAATATACTAAAACTAACAGTCTGCTTCATAAAGTTTATTGTCAGAGAGATTGTATAAAATTTATGTTTCATCATTATCATCAGGCATTTATTTTAATACAAGACAAGAAGTGTTCAAGTTTCTTTGTAATAGCTTTCTAACAAACGGCTTTTATTATACCTGAAAATAACGTTGATTTATTTCTCAATAATAAAAGACGTCTCTTTCAAAATGATAAATTATTAAATTTTCACTGTCTCAGTATTGAACATTAACAACTTACTAAACAATTTATTATTCTTTTATTGGTCTCTTGTCTCAGCCACATAAAAAAACTTTTTTGCTTTATGAAAATTCTAGTTCTTGAACTATTCTTTATAGACTTCAAGGTGCACATTCCTTTCTGTTTTCCAAGTGCATATTCAGGCCAATCGACGTTTCACGATCTCCGTACGTTTCATTGCAGTCGGTATACCGCTTCTACTCATATAGTACCATCTTTTCAATAGATTTATAATAGATAAGGGTATAAGGCTGTGCAATGAGTATTTCTAAATTCTAACCAACGCGTGTCAAAAAGTTTCTAGTCCAATTATCCGTTTAATATTTGTTACATGCATCTAGGACTTATTGTTTTTCATGCGCAAATTAAGTGCTTGTCCATACATTCGTCTCACTTAATCAATACCAGTTAAATCAATTCAAAATGGTGGTACCTTGAATGTGGTTACACATCCGATATATTTACTCAACATTATTATACTCGGATCATTGTCGGATTGCGAGACGATGAATTCCATGACGACTAGACTCATGCCATCGACAAGTGGACTAACTACACAAATATTAGCGAGTGACTAACGAGCGAGTAATTGAGAAAAATCAGGTGATCAATAGTGACGCTCGAACACATTTTTGCGGTCTTTCTTGTTGATTTTCAAGGCTAGTTGTTCCAATTCACATGAATATGTCTCAGTCGTTTTTAAGGTTCAAAACGTCAACAGATATCAGACTTGAGACTCTGCGACAAATTGCAGAAATGCTACCTTGAAGTCAGAAACATTCAGTTACAACTGCAAATGGAACGTGGTCATTTGGTAGATGCTCAAAATCCAGTACCAAAATAAAAAAAAAGAACATACCATACTATTTATCTATCTATTTAAGATCACTGTGCAAAGGTAATATTCGTAACAAAAAATCAAAAGCTTCTTCGATATTCAGCAGCTGACTTTTTAATTCTTTACTAACTAACAGAAACTTTAGATCTCAAATAGAATGTGTCAAATAGAAACCAAATAAAATGCTGATATGTTTATTATTTGAAGTTCGATATCTTTGAGGAGGCAGTTCTAAACAAGTCGAAAACTTTTTTCAGAATAATTTTTAGTATTCTATTAAGAAATGCAACACTCATACGGTATTCGGTGGCATTTGTTTCCATTTTAATGCACCGTTACCAAACGAAACAAAAACATCAGTTCCATTGAAAATTTAGCATGCGTAACGTTTCCAGATTGTATCTTGAGGACGATCAATATCGGACGTAATACCAGAACGACGACGGTTTGCACCAGCACACACAATAAATGGTTTACCACAGTAGCCTAAAATGAAAAAAATTAGTCTTACGGAAGGATTGACATTTCGAAGTAGAAAGATAAATTTCCAAATATTCTTTACCTTCATCGCATGCTAAACAATCATTTAATGAACCATCCGGTTTCGTATTATTAACATGTAAAATGCGATCAATAGCACATAGAGTCAAACATTGTGCCGCATCACATCCCATATTTTCTACCCAGCATTCAGTACATTCAACACTTAAAGCAGCAGTATTAGTCATACATTTGGTTGCTGAATTTTTACCAAATAACACATATTTAACAGCACATTTTGTTGAAATACTTGTCATATTATTTCGTGTTATATTAAAAATATTAATATCTTCATGTGATGAACATGCCCCACAATAGCCACCATGAAGTGCATAAGTTCCATTTGTGCATGCTGCTTCTTGTGTAGGATAATTAATACCATCAGCGCCACAACAAGCTCGAAAAGGAACAAAAAATTAGAATAAATATCTCAAGTTTGAGAATAAGAGAATAAATGAAGAAGACCCGTCAGAGAAACAAGTATATTAAGTATGTTATTTACCTGTTTTAGGCATAACTGGTGGATCATAATCGTTGTCACGTTTTATAATTCCAATTAATTGTAACTTATTGTAACATTCACATTCATGAATATGTAATCGTGTGCCTGTAATCGTCAGACTATTACCATATACCCATTTACAACGACGATCACACTGATCATAGTCAAGCCAATCACGACCAATGCTTTTCAATGCATATTGAAATTTTGTTTCTACATCGTATGGTAAACAAAATGTAAATGGAACAATGCAAATATAAAGGACCGAAATGATAAAGAATAGTAATTTATTCATTAAACAGTCTGTAAAACAAGAAAAAAAGAAAGGGATAAAAACAAAGTGTTATCGAACACTATATGAGTATTGTATTCTTCTTTTTTTTCGAATATTTCAACTCCAGAGTAGGACACCAAAAATTATTTTGAAAAAAGTCGATATCAACTTTCTATTTGGAGATCTAAAGTTTCTGTTAGTTAGAAAGAATTGAAAAGTCAGCTGTTAGGTAAAGAAGAAGCTTATGATTTTTTGTTACAAATATTACCTTTGCACAGTGACCTTAAATAGATAGATAAAAAATATGGCGTGTTCTTTTTTGTTGGTGTGTTATCATGGATGGCAGATTAATTGTGTTTTATTTTATTATCTCGAAAAATAATCACCGTCTTCTGGACGTTATGGGACTATAAGCAAGAGAAATCATTAACCTAGACATTCTTGTGCATTCTCAAGCTTCTCAGGATAGGTCAAGAAAACTTAGAGCATTTTAAAATGCACCACATCACGAAAAAAACATTGTTCGAACAGTTTTTTTCCGTCATTTAATGTATTTTTGAGTGCTCTAAGTTTCCTTACAAATGCATTTTGTAGACCAAACATTTTTCTACAAAATGAGACGTTCCGCAGCTATGAGCGAATCTTGGTAACTGATGTATAGCAATTCTCCCGGATGCTCCAACACGAGTTTTTAACTAATGCGTACCTACTCACAAGATACTCAGCACCAATACGAACACATTCTCTTGTTTCGTTTTCTTTTCCCCAAGAGACTCTTGGCGCCCATATAACTAAATGCGCTCCGAAATGCACCGACACATGTTTGACATGATTCTTATCTGACCTGTGTGTTTGCGAATACGACATTCGAAAGGATGACAAGAGTGTGTTGAATGTAGACTGATCTTTAAATCGAGCTAACGAGGTAAGGTCCAAAGTGGTCGCTTTTTGCTTGAAATCTAGTGGACAACAGGTAATCGACTGTGCTAAATCCGAATCTGACATCGGTTTGTGCTGCTAGGCCTCAAGAGATCGGGTTTCTCTATACGTATTGTAACATCCTTTAGAAACCGAAACATATGTCCATTGTATGCTCCATATAATTCGATTACCTATACATGCACTTTGTTTGCAATTGATATTTCCAGTTTTTGGGAAGATACAAAGCGACAATCCGAATCTGCAGGTACATGATTTCTAAAGAAGCTTGCGAAAAAATCGAGAAAAACCCTTTTTTAAGATTTCTCGTCATACCTGTGTGCTATAGCACTAACGGTATAATATACCGAATTTTGAAAGAAATCCATCTGGTGCATTAAAAGTTATGAGCAGTCCGGCTAAGAGATGTAAACGAGTCCTGCTGAAAAATTTTGTTCACCGGAATTAGGTAAACGTACAAATAACTATAACTGATAATGAAGTGGAAGAGATCAAGAGAACAAAAAAAGTAACGATAATTTTCCCACCCTCCAATTTCTTTTGCAGAGATGTTTTTACGATTAAATTCTTCGAGATGATATTGAACAGACATAAAATAATTGAAGAATTATTTCGTAAGGTGAAAATTTTTAATAAGAATAATAGGACTAAAGTCACCTTTTTAAACATAAGTATAAAGTAACAACTTTATTTATTTGAGACGTTTCGTTCTATGCTATAGAACTTCATCAGTCAAAATGATCAGTGTGTAAAAACATGTTACTTTATACTTATGTTTAAAAAGGTGACTTTAGTCCTATTATTCTTATTAAAGATAAAATAGCTGGCAGGTTTCTCAGCAGGACAGGATTAAATTCGTAAATTGGAGTTTGTTGTATTGTAGATCTGTGCCCTAGTTGGAGTATAGAACGCATGTTAAGAGCTCTGTACTTTTCTAATATGTACTCTATTCAGGAGTAATTAAGTTAGCACGACATTTATTTTACACTGTTAAAACTGCTGGAAAATTTACACTTTAAAAGAATGTAAACCGGAATATATGTTTTCTGCTGCTATAACTAATCGGTTTCATAAACTCATTTTCAGAATTATATGTTCATATTAAACAAATACTACAATTATATAATGAAAATAAATCAAATACACTGAAAATTATTTATGCAAAATGCTCGGCGAATTTCAAAGAGTACCTATGGGAATTCCTCGAGGATTGTCCAGTTTATAGAAAATCGAATTTCCAAGAAGCTAGAAAATCGTCGTTGAATTTCCATAAATAATTTCCAAGAATGCCTTGTCTGTGATCCGTCCATTTCAGCGACATCTATCGTGGAAATTATTTATAGAAATTCAACCTCGATTTTCTATAAACTAGAAAATCCAGAAAATCGAATTTCCAGATCCTTGGAAAATTATTTATAGAAATTCGATTGATTTTCTATCAACTAGAAAATCTTCGGCGATTTTCCAGCTTATAGAAAATCCTCAGCGATTCTTCACCTTTATAGAAAATCGAATTTATCGAAATTCAAGTCGATTTTCTATAAAGTAGAAAATCAACATTTTCTAGAAAACTGGAAATTCGTAGAGAAATTTCTATAAACTAGAAAATCCCCGGCAATTTTTCGGTCGATTTTCTATAAACTGGAAATGAATTCCAGATTACAGTGTACAAATGTCAAAATTATCAATAATTTTATGCCATTAAAAAAAACAAATATTAATAATATAATACGTTTATATTTAGAGAATTTAAATTATTAATTGTGGAATCATATTCATTAGACATAAAATGATAATTGATGAAAAAATTTTTTTCTGAATAATAGGAACAAATGCCCTTTATGGTGCAAATTATGGATGTGCCGTAGTTTGGTCGAAAAGAAAAATGTCGAAAAGAAAAATGTCGAAAGGAAAAATATCGAAGGGAAAAATGTCGAAAACGAAAGTATAGAAAAAAGTGATATCTCTAGTGAACGCCGATTCTAAGCGTCTCTAGTTTATTGTTCGTTTTTCTTATAACTTTGTTAACCTGCATTAAATTTTTTCTTTATCCAGCTATTCACCTGCGTATGATCTCTGTTACGGTGTTACAAGGGGAGAAAGGTGATCTAAATCAGCCCTAAATCAATCGAAAATCATGAAGAATCAATTGAGTTTCAGTGAGTTTCAATGAGTTTGAGTCATTTTCGGCGACTTTTCATTTCATGAAACTCACCCAAACTCAAGAAACTCGATGAAACTCACAAGTTGTTGTTTTCCCCCATTGCGGTGTTAGAATCACATCAAAAATAAAAAATTTTCTTGCCGTTCAAAATTTTCTAAACAGCTTTTCGACATTTTCGTATTTCAATATTTTTCCACTTCGATCTTTTCTCCTTCGACATTTTTCCTTTCGACCAAACTACGGCCAACCAAATTATGTAAGCAAAATGTTCTTTTTGTGAATGATACTCTCTACAAAATACAGATACTGTGCAAACAGTTACATTATATAGAACTCACGAGCGAACATCCCGAAGTGTTTCCCTGGGATTTTGAAGACAAGGTACCGCTCGTCTCCACTCGCTCGGTCCCTTGACTTTATTAACTTGGATCTGCGCAAACGAACGCCCTTTGGTGACTTTTAAATCGAACACAATGCTCACGCCTCCCTTCGGTCGGCGCTCGCTGGGGGCCTAACTACGACATCTTCTGGATTCTTTTTCTTCTTTTCTGTATAAGGTTCGCAATCTGATATAAATATATAAAGCAAAAAATCTCTAGAGGTCTAAACATATTTCTGAATTCAAAACAATGCTCACGTCTTCCATCGGTCAGCGCTCGCTGGAGGCCTACCTAAGACATCTTCTGGAATTTTTTCTGTTTTCATGTGTAAGGTTCGTAATCTAATATAACTGTAAAAAGCAAATATCTCAAGAAGTCTAAAACTATTTCTGAATTCAAAACAATTCTCACGCCCCATGTCATCAAAACCGGTGAAATACCGCTCTGTTACCGCCCGGTTACCAGTTGAGTTTATTCCCCGCTTTACCGGTAGCAGAACGGAAATTACCGCACGGTTACCGCGGTAACCGTGCGGTACTTTGTATATACTGCAGTTACCGCTGGTTTACCGGTGCGATAGAACCGACGGTAAATCGTCATTTTTCGGTTAAATTTGCAGCCTACCGCAACCCAGGTTTGACTCACTACCAGTACAATCCTTTTTTTCGACCTACTTTGGGCCTGTTCATTTATTATAAGACCAACCTTATCACAGAAAAAGACAGACAAAATATAACTAGTGAATATAAAACAATTCACTCTTCTAATTACTCATTTTTTTT